ATTGTGTGTTTAATGAAATCCCGCATTTCGATTGTACGACAAATTATACGTGCGATATAATGCATGATCTCTTTGAAGGCGTTTGTCGATATGATCTCGCGAAGATCATACAACATTTTGTGTATAAAAATTATGTCACATTAGAGCATTTGAATGATCGGATCAAATATTTAAATCATCAGTCAGACTTTGATCGAGGAAATAAAATTCCTTTAATTAGAAACCATCATATCAATAAAGGTTGTTTAATAATGAGCTCAGCCGAAATGTCAGCGTTAGTGTGCTATTTCTCTTTTATTATCGGAGACCTTGTACCTGATTATGATGAAGTTTGGGACTTCTATTTTACATTGTGTGAAATTATTAAAATAACCACAGAAAATATTATATCTGATGATCAAGTAAATTATCTGAGATATTTGATTTTTTCATATCATGAGATGTTTATGCGATTATTCAAAGAAGAATTAAAACCGAAATTTCATTTCATGACTCATTATCCTGGAAGTATTCGAAAAATGGGACCATTAAAATATTTGTCTTCCATTCGGTATGAGGGATTTCATAAGTTATCAAAAACTTATGCATCTACTATAACTTCTCGAAAAAATATAATTTTATCACTTGCGACAAAATTACAACTCCAATTTTGTTACAGAATATTAATAAAAAAAGGTCTCGAGGACTCATTAAAAGTAGGGAAAAATATAGGGATAGCGCCGACCCCCTCGCGGCAAGCCACCTTGACGTGGTGAGGGGGCTTGTAGGCGGGAGTCCGTCTGGAAGCCGCTGTGTGCCGTTTTAGGCTCCGGCGGTTTCGGTGACGGGCTCTCGCCGACTAAGAGCTTGCCTTTCCCCTGAAAAGGGGAAACAAGGAGCCCGGCGACTCCGGTCTCGGCTGCCTCGACGCGAGTCGAGGCAGAACCGAGATCATTCGCCGGTAGGGGATGAGGTACCCCGACTTCAAACCTCCGGCTTCCGGGGCCGATAGGGGGGAGCTTGCTCCACCCACCGGACCGGGTCTCCCCCTCGATTCCATTGCACGCCGGTTTCCGGCAGGGATCGGGGGGAACCCGGACGAGGGGGAGGGAATCGCAGATGCCATTGCACGCCGGCTTTCCGGCAGGCATCTGGGATTCGGGGGGAGGCCACCGTCATCCACTGCACGCCGGCTTTCCGGCAGGAGACGGTGGCAAGGGGAGCGAGCTCCTCCGTCAACGAGCTCGTCGTGGACGTGCTCGCGGGCGGGGGAGGGCCGGACCCCGGAGGTACTACAGGACGTGGTCCTGGCCGAAGGGTGGGCCGGAAGTCGTGGCCTCCCCGCGGTTGATTCGGACGTGATCCGTCTCTTCCGGGGGGAGGGG